GTGAGAATTTCCCTTGCAACACAAGTAAGTAAGTAAGTCACAGCAATTCTTGTCTCGCATTCATATTAAATCAAACTAAGAACAACTGATTCCTTGACCTTATCTGAGTAAGAGCCCATGAAGTATACCATCGAGACAATCTGCACATTGGGACGTCAATTTTTTTTGTTTTTGTCGCTTGAATTTGGCAGCCCTGGGTGAAAATGCAGAGATGGCGAAGAGATGTAATTCAAGATCAGTTTAAAATGATCTAAACTCTAAAACGTTTCTATCGATCTCTAATTTTTTTTTTTTACTAGGAGGACGCCGGTGGGGATACGAAGAAACAGGTATGATTCAAATTATGCTTCGTTATGCCCAGTTGTCGTCCTTTTTCTCCATTAACTTTCAATAGCTGAGTGATGAGACAACACACAGAAATCAATACATTCGCAAAAACTTCTAGATGCCAGTTTGAGTCTCATAGCTTAGTCCTTCGTTGCCCATCAACACATTCACTGTCTTCTTTCAAAACTTTCTCTAGAGTTCGGTCCGGCAGACTGGGGTCTAGCGGTGCCGTCATGCAGTGGTCAGTTCCAGTCTCCCATCGACATAGTTACTAGTTTGTCTCAGACAAATTCTTCTTATGGTGGCCTAGTGCCGATCTTTGATAATGAGGATGGAACAGTGAGTGGTGTCTTGTCCAACAATGGCCACGCCCCTATAGTTACTCTGGATAAAACCCAAGGCGGTGTAACCCTCACGGCAGGTCCTCTTGGTCAAAACACCTTTCGTCTGGAACAGTTTTACTTTCATTTTGGATGCGAAAGCAATGTTGGCTCTGAACATACCGTGGATGGAAACTCTTTTGCATCAGAGGTATCTAACATGAATTAATGCTAAAGCTGCACGAATTAAGGACCCACATGAAAAAATTACAATAAGTAAGCAAAGGAATGAATCTTGTAAGACTTCCTTCAAAAGAACGATTGTTAAGCTAGAGGAGAAAAAAGGTTTTTTTTCCCTTGAGACTTATACACTCTCGCGAAGGCTGTCCAGCATACAATCAAAATGATAGTCCACTAGTGTGAATTTCTATTGACGTTAGTTCTTTCCAACTGAAGAACGATACTGTTGGGGAAATTTTTCATTTTCTTTTTCGTTTCGTCACTTACTTGTTATCGTATACTTTTTTGCTCTTCGGTATTTTGTTAATTACACTCTTTTGTTACGTGCTGTATGTAAATTTAGTAATTTAGTTATATAGTTTGTTATCTCGCCCCTTTCTTTTTACCAGAGTTTTTTGTGCCTAACCGTGAAATAGTGTTGGTAGAAGTAGATTTTTCCCTTACTCGGTTTTCCCAATCACCAACCCTAGGTATCTTCAGCATTTGGTGAGCAGCTTCATTTTCATCGTTTTCTTTAATTTCGGTTGCAGTGGTTTTTAGGTAGTTTGTCTGGTAGTAATTGCTATTTTTTGCGCTTCGTAGGAATTTACTTTTTTCTGACACATTACAGTAAAACATTTGCTGAGGCCTCGTTTTGTTGTTTTCGTCGAATTGGCCCTTGCCTGTTCAGACACAGAGTTTACGAATGAGATACTCTAGTGCTTTTTACTTGCGTTTCCTCTGGCAGATGCACTTGGTGTTTTATAATGACATCTATGGAAATTTCAAGGACGCCGTCTCCAAGCCCGATGGGTTGGTGGTTATCGGAGTGTTTCTGCAGGTAGTTTTTGTGTTGTGTTTTTCTTAACCATACTTATTAATTTGTTTAACTTTTGACCCTTTGAGGCTTTGGTGGATAAATTGACAGATTACGGAATTCATATTGCATATCGTCATTACTTTTGCAAGCGGAGACGCTTCCAACAGATTCGTCTCCACCCAGAAGTTAACCGATTACCTTTTCGTTCTTATTTTTTTTCGAAGGTGAACGGAGGATTCAACAAATGGATGGAGAAAATTGCTCTGGCCTCAACCAATGTCGTAACTCCCAATGGTAATTAAACATACACTTGTGTCATTTGCGATTACGCCCTTACTTCTAGTGAGACTGGTACGAATTTCAGCTTGTTGTGTTTTTTGAAGGTGACAGCTACAGTCTTGATGGCGGTATACCGCTGACACAGCTTGTTCCAGACTTGATGTCAAAAAGCGCTCCTTACTACACGTACAAAGGTTCCCTTACCACCCCTCCCTGCTACGAATCCGTGCAATGGATCGTAATGAAGAACCCAATACCGATCACCGAATCCCAGGTTAGTAGCGGAGCTCGCAGTGCTTAGAGTGCGCACAGCGTAGCGCCGTAGGTAAGAGAATATAGTTACCGCTCAAGCCGAGAAAATTTGGTGTTGATGCCACTGCTCAGACGGATTTTATACAAAGAGGTGTAAAAACCATGTATTTATTTTCCAATTTTTAGCATATTAATGCAATCTAGCAATTTCTTTTCAGCTGGAATTACTGCGATCGTTATCCACTATTAGCGACGACCCTCTGTGCAACAACTTCAGGCCTGTGAAACCGCTGAATGGCCGCAAGATTTTCACGTGGCCTGGAAAGGAAAAGCTGTCTGGCCTGCTGAATGTCCCCTTTTACCATTGACGATCCAATAGTGTCACTAAGACATAACGAGGTCTATACGATTACCAATAGAAAGCCGTATCATAATTTGAACTCGTTTCCTTTTTAGCAAATATCTATCTTAATTAAATGGTAGTTCACCGAAGGTTGCAAAAAAAGTCAGAAAAGTTAATAAAAAGCGGGCTTTCACCATAACACTAAGCTGAAACGACCGTGTAACCTTTTGGGCTTTATATGAATCATTTGCCATTACTTTTTGTGATCCTTATATTATCTTTGCGTTATATTGGTAAAAATCACACTAAGAGTCCTAAATTACCAAGCCTGTCCTCTGCGTTTCTTTATGGTTTTTTCTCTGGAATTGGCAGGAAAATATTCTCGGTATCCTGGGTTCACCAGTGGATTCCGGTGAGTCGTAAGGAGGTGTATTGAGTTTGTACGAGAGGGAGTCGACGCCTTTAAACGCTATCTCGCTCTCTTTTGCGATTATCAGAGAGTTAGCTATACCATAAGGTTGTACGTGTGTTATTTTGGGGACTAAATGCGACCTCGATTAAAGTGTTACACACTGAGTAAGGCCTATACTCCCTGATGATTTTGATTCTAACACGGAGATCATTATTTGCTACTGATTCCTCTGATTAAGGTCGTTTTGCATGCTTGTGAGTTGGGTATGTTGACCGTGGCTTTTTTTTTCGAACCCATGTATTTTCTCTTAATTTAGTCCATTTTCAGTTACAAACCTTCATAAGATCATATTATCTGACGGCTTGCTGACATTTTCATGGCTGCTGGAAAATTTTCACCACTACCAAAGTTGGTGCTGTTTTCCATTTGATACAAGAAAATGATATAACCAATTTTTATAAGGTTTTTCCCTAGGTTGGTTTGTGCCGCGTCAGGCGCACTCCGAGATTTTTTTAAAACCTCACCCACTTCTAGCCTGAAAGTTGATAAAAATGCTCAACCTGATAATTCACATTTCCTTCGGCCTACGATCTTGAGATCTAAGCAAACGTTCTGCTAACAAGTTTGTCAAAGATTGGCCAAATTCTACGCTGGGGTTTACGGAGCTGCAAACTTATTGTGTTGCGTATCTTTTTCTAGTTAGATAAAGCTTCTGAAACAGTGTAGCCAGATTGACGTCTGTAGACATCTGA